AGGAGCTTGTAGCGAGGGGAGATCAGTGTCTTCTAACTAGTAACAGAGCATAGGACAAGAGGAAACAGCCTCAAGTTATGCCAGAGGAGGCTTAGATTGGATATTAGGAAAAATTTCTTCCCCAGAAGGATTATCAAGCACTGGAACAGGCTGCCCGGGGAAGTGGTGGACTCGCCATCCCTGGAGGTATTTAAAAGACGGGTAGATGTGGTGCTGAGGGACATGGTTTAGTGGTGATTTTAGCAGTGTTAGACTGATGGTTGGACTTGATAGTCTTGAAGGTCCCTTCCAACCTAGGCAGTTCTATGATTCTATGATTTCAGTTTTTCCAGGCATGACTTGTTTTCCTACTGCATTCTGGATCACCAATGGGCAGAATTAATTACTGCTGAATCATAACAGAGTCTTATACAACAAAATGCGAGTTACTCGCATAAGAAGCAGCAACTTCAGTGGTACTGATTCTGCTTCTGTGTGCTAATGTAACCTTCCTAAGAAGTTGTTCTCAACATCTTGGTTTTGAGTTCTCTGGACTGCTGTTTCATGAGTTATGGAAGTCACTGGGTCTTATATTTTCATTTTATTGGCGAATGTTAAGTATGTCTGCTTAAGATATATCCCTTGTTTTATGTAGTTAATATAGAGTGTAGTGGTATGAAAGATCTAAAATAAGTTTTTCCTTATGCAGCATGGAGACTGATTGCAATCCTATGGAGTTGCCCAATAATACGGATTTTGAAGATGATTCTGATTATAGAGACTTCGAAGGAACAGATGTGAAAGATATGAGACTAGAAGCCGAAGCTGTTGTGAATGATGTTCTGTTTGCTGTGAGCAACATGTTTGTCTCAAAAACGCTTCCCTGTGCAGAGGATGTAGCATATATCAATGTGGAAACCAGGGAAAGGAACAGATACTGCCTGGAACTCACCGAAGCAGGACTCAGGGTAAACTGATTTGTTTATAATTTCTTAAGCCTGGAACAATGATAGTATTCAAAAGGTGCCCAGAAAAATACTTCAGTGACACCAAAACAGCATACGTATTCCTCTTGTACTTTTATGAAAGCCTGTTCTACATGTTTTCTCCTAGAAGGTGGAACATTAACTAGTTACTTCCAACAAAGCAAGAAGGGAAGTTGATGAAAAAACAGGCATTTATTTGAGACACAAAACAATGAAGACTGAAGCAGCAGTTTGTTACATACATGTCAGTCTTTGGGTTTCTCAGGTACCCGGATAAGTCAGTAATACAGCATGTATACAACTCCTTTTTGCACCATATGCATGTTTTGTGCAAACACGTAGATGTAAGACTTCTTTTCAAAGCTCATGAGATAGATTTTACTAATATTCTGAGTTTTGGACAAAAGGTATTTGAAACTGTTTAAATACTCTGTTACCACTAAGCCCTGTAGTAGAAAGCACAGATTGTGATTTAAATCCAGTATCTTTTGTTCTCACATTACTGTACCACCCTGACTGGCAACATTAAATGGTGTGATATCTGTTTCCCATTGCAAGGTGATCCTAATCACAGAAATTTAATCAGTGGTTTCTTTTTTTGCAGGTAGTAGCTTATGATTTTGATCAGACTGATGACAGATTGCAAACTCCATACCATGAAACTGTCTACTCCTTATTGGACTCTCTCAGCCCTGCATATCGAGAGGTGTTTGGAAACGCACTACTACAAAGACTAGAAGCTTTGAAGAAAGAGAGTCAGTCGTGATTTACCCAAAAGGGAGAAAGGTTTAATGCTAGAAGGGATTCTTAGTATGAGGCGCTGAGATCTTTCTTACAAACATAATCACAAACATCTTTAAGCTTCATTTTTTGCATTAATGTCTAATTCATGCTAGTACTACTCTAGAAAATTTTGCTATAATGGATTTGAGTATATCACAATGCTATTAAAAGCCACTTTGATAAATTGTAAAATTAATAAACTTCTGTTTTCTTTTTTGTTGTAAGTAAGCAAGTAAGTGTTGCTTCTTACAGCATTCAAAAAATCTGGTCTTTTTTCAAAGTGTTATTATCCAAAACTCTAAAACAGTAGACAGAGACTGAATGTTATATATACAAGTAGTAATTCTTTTTTGTGTGTGCTTACCGATAATTTTCATATCTGCATTTTAAAATAGAAGCTACTTGTTGTACCCAATTAATGAAAAATAATTGGGAAAACTACTGTTCTGCAAAGGACAGAATTTCAGCTTGATTTGTTATACATAAATCTGAAAAGTCTCAGCTTCGGTAACAAGAAAGGTGATTCTTGAACAGTTGAGCATTGCTTACATAGTGACAGTATCTGAGTTAAAAGCAAGGCTCAGTATTGTTTGATCGGTCCTTGTCTGTGGCAACCAGCAAACTCCGAATAATAAATGACATGTACTGCTAATATATGAATGTATTGTCTGAATTGCAAATGAGTTAAGCACAGAATTAGGATGTAATGGGCTACATTTCCTAAAGATGATGTTAAATATGCTATATTTATGTATATGTATGCTATATTATAACTATTTGGGAGGTTTGGAAGACATTTTAGCCTGTTTACTATTCTGAATGTGTGTTTACATGATGTACAGGATATACCCAAGAGTATTTTTGCTTCAGCCTTTACTTTCTATAATACAGTACTTTGGTACTCCCGTTTTTCACATTTTTCTCCCTCAATTGTACAGCGTCTTCTCCTAATGAATACTAAGTAAGCACTGTAATGTTAATTGCATTGTATTGGTTTGAAACCAAAGGCTGTATGAAATTTGCTAAGAGTAATACAAACTGGAACATATAACGTGTATTTTCTACTTTAAAACTGGTACAAATCTCTTTATAAATCTATTGTTCTGCTGTATCTTTTCAAATATGTACTGAATGGTAGACTTTTTAAAAATTACAGTTGCTTAGAAATACCAGTACTGTTGAACTAATGTTCTATGACGTTCATACTTTTTGTATTCTTGTATTATTCAGTATTTGTGCATCTTTATTTAAATAATCCTGCCATTATTCTGCCATGCTTTTGTGACAAGTACATGCAGTAGCTTTTTTTGGATCTACGCTTAGGGACACATCAGTTCTTAGGAAGTCACAGATTCCAGTGACTTCAGTAGAGCTATATTGATTTCTGCCTGCTAAGGATTAGTTATATTAATTGAAGAAGCCTAGTAGAGCTTTTGTAATAGCTTTGGGGTAATGATGTACAACTATGACTGACAAGACAGCTATAGTTAGAGCTGCTGTTTTCCAGAGCTTAATTTTGTGTTTATTTTATTATCCTTTTAGGTTGAACCTTCTGATATTAATCCTCTGCCCTAGGGTATGCTTCCATGCTCTAAAAATTGTTCATAGGCTCTCTTTTTGCACACAGGTCTGTGGCACGTGGTTAGTCCTCTGTGAGGAGAATGTACTTTACCAAATTTATATTTGAATATTTTCCCTTGCAACTAATTTACTTGTTCAATTTCAGTGACTAAAGCATTAAATAAATGCACCAGTGTGTTGTAGTTTTCTTGGGGGGAAAGCCACTGGAAAGGAGGGAGTAAACAACCAAAGTCATCACACCCATAAAAAAAATCTGAAATATCAAATAGTTAAGTATTTGAAAACCTTTGGCTGCAAACTTTTATCTGCTTAAACTTTGTCGTGAAGAAAACAAGGTAGGTGATTGTAAAGAGGGACTTGGAAAGGAAGTATTAGAAGCACAAGTGGAAAAATGCCAAAGTAAATGTTATATTGCTAAGATTATTCTTTTTCTTAGATATCTTTACAATGCTTTGTCATTTTGCGTGCTTATTATAAACCTAAGCTGAGAAATGCTGTCAAAACAGGTGTTTTGTAGGTGTTACCAGAAGAAACTTCTGTTGTTGCTTACAATGTACTGCAGGGTTAACTCAAAAATGGGAAATATCGTTCCACTATGTCTGGGTTTATGAGCATGAAGAAAATGCTCTCCAGTCCCTATAGATAGCCATCGCTGCCTATAGGGAGGGGGAGGGGGAGGGAGCTTCTCTGGGACACAGGATGGTTTGGGTTGGAAGGGACCATAAAGATCATCTCGTTCCACCCCCCCTGCCATGGGCAGGGACACCTCCCACCAGACCAGGTTGCTCAAAGCCACATCCAACCTGTGGCCTCGAAGCACTGACAAGGGAGAACTTCAACAAGTCTCCTTTGGCTGTCATTTGTTTTCATTCGCCGGACCCCTTAACGAGTGCTGCTTGCCCTAATGGAGCTGTTAATCTCTGAATTACCTAAAAAGCCTCAAAGCCTGCCTGCTGTCTGAAAGGATGTCTAATAACCTAATTAACGCTATTTTTATCTCCGCAGTACCACGTACATTTTTGCTCTGCTCGGCATCTAGAAGTCAGGAATAACGCCCCTCATTCGTTGGCTGCCGCTATCCCAGTTTCTCCGGGGATAATTTAGCTAAATTGATTGATAGATCGTAGCTATAGATTGAATTAGGTATAAAACTGCGTCGGATGGATTGAATTGGGTAGTAAAAAAAAAAAAAAAAAGGTTATGCGTACACACGAAATGCCCGTTGCTGCTGACGACGGCCCTTACCGGCGGAGCTGCCCGAGACCCCCCAGCCCCCCGCAGG